CTACTTCCATGTCATAAAGGCTTAGTCATGTCTCTTGACCAAGCAATGAGCTGGTGCCCTGACACATCCCTCCTTCCTTGTGGAAGGATGACTTGCCTGGTGCTATGGTGAAGATGAAGTTGACTTTTCATTTTTATCACATTGCAAGAGAAAACAAGTCCGCATTCATCCTTGTTCCATATGATATTATTACCATCAGCTGCCCCACAATCATCAGCTCATCACCAACAAAGAAGAGGTGTTTGGATGAAGGTCCATCAAGGAGCATGCATCATCATCTTGATACCAAATCTTGATTCAACCTGCTTGATAGACCAACCTCACCCCATCTCTTATCCCTAATATCAAAAAGCTTCTTTGTCAAGGTATCTTCTGAAGTCTCAACACTTTGGTACTTGCCCCTCTTATAGGGCCTATTTCTCAATGTTCATTTCAACACCAATCTTCAATTTCAGTACCTTTTTTCATAGTCAGACCTCTTAGGTACAACACATTTGTTCCCCAATTCAAACCTTATTTTTGCATTTGCATTGCTTGCTTGAGACTGAATCATCTGGTTGACTATCAATTGATCCTCTTGATGCACATCTGCTGTTAACTTCTGCATGGTTTTTTGTTGGGGTCGCTGTTATTTGTCTGAGTAGTGAAACACATTCTCATCCTTCAACATGTTCAATCATTATTCACACACCCCATCTTCGCTCTGCACAATGAATAACCAATGTCTTGCCTTCTGATTCTGCATACCAGTTGATCAACATACCTTGCATATCTCATTGAATGGGTGGCACACAGTAAGGCAGCACAATGGATGATTATATGAGCATACTACAATGGTCTACATGTATCTAAGTAACATAGACATGTATTCTTCTCATATATGAAGAGGGAAAAATATGTACCACTAAAACTTTGCCTATATGTCTCATTCATTTGCCAGTATAGCTGTTATTCATCACTCCTCAAAAGACTTCAGCTGGACATGAGCTTCTTGAAGTTGGCTCTTCAATGCCGAAACATGATCAGGCATATTGCTGTAGTTCTGGTGTTTGTTGTACTGGCGCATAGTCAAAAGCTCCTTGTGCAGGCTGCTAACGGTGTAATCGGCCTGCTCAAGGAACAAATCTGCATGAACACAGTTAATATCACAATGATCATGATTGACAGAAATGGATCTGCTGACTGAATACTTCATACAAGCTTTTGGTCAGAGCTTCAAGTCTCCTGCCAGTGATCCTCCCTCTCTTTCCCCTTCTTCTGCTTCTTCTTCTCAGGGAATTTAGTCATCAGGATGACATCAGATTCATGGCTGGCGTTGCTCTCTTGCTCCTTCTTTGTGTCATCCAAGTCATCTTGGAACATGAAGTCAATGTCATACTGGGAGGACAAATGAGCTCTCTTCTTTGACTGGTGTGCTTCTTCCTCCTTCAATTCAGAAGACAATCTTTTGGCAGCTTGATTGAACACTGATGTTATCTGTAAGCTTATATATTCCATGTTGCATGTGTCAACTTACCAATCTGGAACTCACACAAAATAGAAAGGTCTCGACAGTTATGACATCTGAACCCAGACTTGTTGCTGGGATGCACTGGTCCCAACCAAGCCATTCTCTGTGCAGGTTCAACTCCTCTGCAGATTTGGTTCCAATATGCTTTGGCACATCCAATGCACTATGACTTTGTTAGTGCTGATAACATCTGTATGCTCACATGCTTACCCATCCAATAGGCTTGATTAGGCCATGGAGCTTCTCATTTGGGTCTTTCTTGAACTGACACAACATTCAGTGCTAGAACACCCAAGAAGACAATATGCTTACCTGGTTGAAGACCTTGACCTTGTCAGCCAAAGGCAACACCTCTTTTGTCACTTCTTTATCGATGCTGGATAACTTCACCTTTTGGCCTATGCAAACATATTGGACGGAACCATCCTTCATGCCTATGGCCTGCAGGTTGGACTCCAGCACATCCTACATAGGTACCTTCTTCCATTCAGTGGAACCACAAGGTCCCTTCTATGACTACCTTCTGGGCATGATCGTAGATAGGACATCCATGATCTGTGTTGTCTGTGAGTTTGTTCTTGTTCACAAATACACATTGTGCTTCTTGAGTGGCCTTCTGATCCTGAGATTGGGTCCTCACACCAATCTGATTCTTGGACCTTGCAGAACATGTAATGTGCAGGGAAGGTTTGGATATCATTGGGGATGTCAATGTGGGCTGCTGCATATGTAAATCAGCTCATCTTCCCCATAAAAGTAAATGCTCACAATTTTCTCATGAATGATTGTCTTCACCCCCCCTTGGCTCGTCTCTCTGTATCTGTGGTCAAATTTTATATCATATATGTTATGTTAATTGACAGACCTGAAGATGGGCAGCTTTTGCTTCAGCTTTGCACTCCCTGCACCACTGCCATCCAATCATCTCCTTCATCACCTCTGTGACTTGTTTGTATTTGCTAGGATCATTTCACACAATGTTGTTGACTGCCATCTATAAGATGTCAGTATTGTGGGCTGGCACTATTAAATATATGTGTACAAGGCATGCATTGCCATGCTCCTTGATGTACTCATTGAACAAGTTTTTGTCATGAGACTTTGAAACCAATGCCTTGAATACATGCTGAGCTTGAGCTTCTTTCACTTCTGTGGAGGGCATATTTGAGTATGTCAAAGTAGATGGGGTCCTTAGATGGAGGTGAAGAGGAAAGGTAGAGTATGTTTGATGGAGTCAAAGTTAGGGGCACAAAAGAGGGTCTTTTATTTGTGGGTGTTGAATGTGGAATGTGGTTTGGTTTATCAAGGGCACCAGTGAAAATTTAAATCCCGTTCTCGCGGAGGCATCGAACAATCCTTATTAGATCCCGCGCAGCTCATTTGGCGCTAATCCGAGCTAGGTCTCTGCCGCCGAAGCCCGGCCCCTTCCGAGTGAAAGGATGTACTCTGACAAGCCTATTGTTGTACCAGTTCTGCTTGTAAACTGTCTCTATTGTGTAGAATGAAGAATTAGTCTGCCAGAAAAACAATTCTCTGGAAGTGTACCTGTGAGTTACGTGTTCCCCGCTATCAATGCTCCATCGCTATTTACGCAGAGTGTATGGGATCGAGACATTTGTGGCTGGATTGCAGGTCCAGATCCTCGGGGTAGAAGTCACGGGAAGAAACATGTCACAATCATGACGCAGAGCTCACGCCTATATTACAAAAAAAAGCGCAGCATCAGTCGGATTCATTTTCCGAGTGAGCGGTGATTATTGTACACATAGCAACGCAACACAACAGGTACGGGTATAGACGTACACGTACTTCAGGTGCCCGGCTCTGAACCGACCTCAACGGTTCCATCAACCACTCAAGCAAGTACTCAGTCAAGTACTCAGTCAATTCACAGATCCGTGGATCCATGGGCCGTAAGCGATCACGTCCGCCGGGCCTCGACCTCATCAGTCGCCTTCCTCTTTCTGATCAACTGGCTCGCCTCTTTCCGGTCCTTCATCTCCTGAATCTTCAGCTGCAGGAGCTTTTGCCAGCTCATGCTCGAGCCCAGATGTTTGACAAGCACGAGCACGGGGCTTTCCCCAGACTGGCGATACTGGGGATCCAGGGCGGCACGGGTGTATGCGGGCCAACGGAATTGGTCCTGGTCCATATCGGCGTGTCGCTGGATATAGGCTTCGAGTGGGAGGAACGCACGTTTCTTGACGAACGCATCCTCTACCCGTTGGTCAATCATCGGACCTAGCTTCTCGAACGTCATCCAGACGTGCAAAGGAGGCCGGTTTGCGGAGGCGTAGTCGTCCGTCCCGGCGGCGATGATCTTACGGAACATTTCCGCAATGGCGATGGACGAGTGCGCGTCTAGGTCACTGTTTTCGAAGGGAGATGTTGTGAATAGGCGGATAGTGCGACCTGTCATCCTTGTAAGATAATCCACCCCTACCCTAAAGCTAAATCCACGTACTGGAAATATCCCACTGTGACAGCCAGATGTTGACGAGCATGTATCCGGGAGGATAGAGCTTCGTCGTCCGCCGCAAATTCGCAAGGAGCTTATCTTCCTCGTTCACCTCTTCTGGTAGTTCCTCAATAACGGGCTTTCCTCTTCTTGGCCTGCAGAGGTCGTCAGTTAAACCTACTAGTCAACCAAATTCAAGGAATGTCGCACCTGTTTCGTGCCCACGTCAGGCTAACGTAGTGCCTCTGACCAGGTCCGGGGCCTTTGAGCACAAAGTCCTTCGCCGGCCACCCACTTGCAAGAATCTTATTCTCGATATCTTGGAACGTCTTGAGTTGCAAAGGCGAATCACTGTCGACTTCCAGCACCTTCTAGGAGTCAGCGACCTCGCACATACTCAGGCTAGTGACGAACCTCAGGCACCGCTAGCCGTAGGAAGTTATCTTTCCATAACACTTCGCATGCCTCGATAACGCTGTCGATCATGACGTCTTGTCTGAAAGTGTCTGATACGTCCCAGGACGCCATCTCGAGATCACCTGTGCCTAGCCGCGCATGGGAAAGGTTACAAGTCTTGCGCCCTTCATCGAAGAGTTCTTTGCATCTCCATTTTCCCGCTCCAGCTCTGAATAGAAGGCGAGCGTGAGATACAGGTTAATAACATAACTGTGAAGGACATACCTTCCTGACCCGCCCCCACAATCACTACACCGCTGATACTTTTCTGTGCATTGCAAACAGACGACCTTGCTTCAAAGTCAGCATATAGACTGTATCTTTACACTACTATGTACCTCTGAGGCGAACTCAAGCGTCTGCTCTGGGAACTTCGGGACGATACCTCCCGTCCCTTGCCTCCTCAAGCACACATCACACACCGTCGGCATCGTCGTGTCGTTCCCCTGCTTGATCCTCCTCTTAATCTGCGGCTGCTCACCAAACGTCACCGGAGTGGTACAGTCCTCGCACAAGTACCTCAACTCGTACGGCACGTCCAGCTCTTCTCTCGTCCCGCGCAAAAGGAGCTTTGCGATCGGGTTCCCACAGTTGGAGCAGGTGATAAGTGTCTCAATACGGAGCTTTCTTGATCGGCGAGCGCTGGGTGCTAACGGCGCCTGGGTTAGGGGCGAAGCGCTCGATCCAGAGCTGCCGGAGGCGGTCGTCGATGGACCTTGGACAAGCGCATCATCGGCATGGTCGTCTGCGTCGTCGGCTCCGATAGCAGCGGGGTCGTCTGGTGAGCCGGAGGAAAGGGACAAAGGTGGTTCGGGAGGGATAGCATGCTCCGGCCCACCAAAGATCTCTTTGAGCATGTCCTCAAATCCCGGGTCCATCGTCGTAGGCGAAGCTACAGGCCCTCCCACACCATTACTCATGTCCAATCCGGAGAAGGGAGCCATCGTAGGCCCTGTCGGCATCCCCGTCCAGGTTGCAAACCCACTATCTCCGAACATCCCCATTCCTGGGAAGTTGTCCATCCCCGTACTTGCAAGAGCGGGGTTCGACATTTGCATGAAGTTGAAATCGATCATTGGTGTGAAAGGCGTCATGTTCTGCAGCCCGGTGTTCACAGTTGTCGAGTTCGGGGTATCGCCGTTCTGGAGTGCAGGATTGGACGCAGATTCAGGGACAGAAGGAGAGACATGCATCGCCTGCAATCGAGCAAGTTCGACCTCCGCCTCCCGCTCTTTCCGCTTCTCAGCTGCGATCTGCAGGTCAAGCTCCCGCACGCGCTGTTTTCGCTGTTCGAGGTCGAGCTGCAGTTCTAGTTCTCGCAGGCGGACTGTCTCGCGCGCGAGCTGCAGTTTGAGTCGCTGTTCTTCTAACGAAGGGTTGGCAGCACTGTCGGGAAGGGGCGGCATAGTGAGTCCGTTGTTGCTACTTCCATTCGAGTTGTTATACAATGAAGAGGAAGACTGATTCCTGAACGAGAGCAAGTCCATGTTGAGGCTGTAGACATCAGGCTCCATGTTGACCAGAGATGTTCGTTGTTAATCCAAGGTAGTGGTAAAAGAACAAGGAGTGAAATGAAAGATATCAGGTGAAATGACCGATGACTTGGCTGTGTATGTAAGCCAGATGCGGTGCTCGACCCGCCATTCATTGACCTGGACTTTTCGGCGCTTAGCACTGCCACTCGGCGTTTATGATACCCATGGGCTGGGCAATGGGGATCCAAAGCCCAAGTCCAATCCCTTTCTCACCCTAGAATTTCAATAATTCGCTGATCATATCGCAGTTCGAAAAGGGAAAGATATGCGGCAAGACAACCACGTGGATTCCAAGGTACGGGAGCCGACAACGTGCCAATCCCATTTCCTTCAAAAGAAACTTGACGCCCGCCGACTGGCGCATCTTTTTCCACCTCTTCTCCTTCCTCTAGACCTTCGGATCCGCATCTCAATCACCGCGGCTCCAATTGTATTCATTCGTGGCGGGTAAAGTACATAAGTGCGGCAGGGTACTTGCCATGACGACATCCCAGCCTTTTTCCGCCTCTTCTTATAACGCCCTGCCGTCCTGGCCCTTTACTTCCAATCGCTCGCCCCTCATTGAATTCCGCTGTACCTACACGCCCGGAATGCTCAGATAATCTGCTGGGTGCCACACGTGTGTCCCAGTTACGGACGGGACGGGCCCCGCAGATGAAACAATGGTATAAAGACGCCTTGCTTTGCTCGCTCCCACATATTTGGGTCTTACATCCATATACCACCGGCACCTATTCCTCACAATATAAGTGCCAAGTCCGCCCAGATAACAGACGTACTCATCCACAACTTAATATTGCCGCACTCTATCGCCTTATCTTAATCGGATAAGATGGGTGAACTTGGATACTCCACCGCAATGTCCCCTCTCGCAGGCAACGTCGTCCCCGTCGTCGACTTTTCCGAGTTCATCAACCCTCCCAGTCCGGAGATTAAGCAGGCTGTTGCAAACCGCATCGTCAAAGCCTTTTGCACTGTCGGCTTCGTCTACCTCGTCAATCACGGAATCCCTCTAGAATCCATCGACGAGTGCTATGACTGGGTATGTCAGCCGTATATTCCTATTGCTGATTCTGATTCTTAACACCCTCGCATGACAGAGCAAGAAGTTCTTCGCCCTTCCTGTGGAGGAGAAGAAATTCTGTCTGCGTGTACATCCTCCTACCGGGCCATATCATCGTGGGTGGTCGGGTGTCGCCAACAGGTACTTCTTTCTCCTCCTCCCATGTCCAAGCACTCACCCACTGCAGTGGCCCAGGGCCCGTAGTCCGCGAAGCGATGGAGCTTTCGCGAGATGACGTTCCCGCGTTCCCAAATCGCTGGCCGTCCGAGTCCAGCCTCCCAGGGTTCCGCGCCTTCTGCCTGCAATTCTTCTCCACTTGCCACCACACGCAGCTCCAGATCCTGTCTGCTATCGCACTCGGCCTTGGGTTGCCGGAAGAGTACTTCTCTCCCTACCACAGTGAAGCGGAGAACCAGCTGCGATTCTTGTTCTATCTCCCTGTGTCGGAGGAAGCGCTTAGGACACGCGAGGAGGAGAGGCTCGATGCGCATACGGACATCAGGACTTTGACGATGCTCTTCCAGGACGAGGTTGGTGGGCTGGAGGTAGAGGACCCAGGGAATCCGGGCGTGTTCCGCGCGAGTCCACCTATAAGGGGAGCCATGATCATTAATGTGCGTCTCTATGTCATGCGGTTATAGCACCTTGCTAATGCACCTGTAGATCGGTGACTTGCTCGCGAGATGGTGCGCCTTCTTTTCTTCTGTGTATTTCAGGCGCTTACCCGTCAACGCAGGACGAACGACGTTCTTCATTCGCCGCTTCACAGGGTCACCGCACCCCCTCTCTCTTCATCTTCCGAACAAGACGCTGGCAACCGCAACCGCATGACGCCCCCGCGGTACTCCATCCCTTACTTTGCGACGCCCAACCTGGATGCGGTTATCGACTGCGTTCCTGGGAGCTGGGGAGAGGGCAAGATGAAGAAATACGAGCCGATCAGTGTGAGAGATTACATCAATATGACTGTACGTTCTGCCCTCGGCTGAAACGGCTTGTTTAATCAGTACTGATGCAAACTTTAGGTCAGTTCTAAGCATAGGGGTTACAACTATGTCAAATGAACCAAGAGGTATATATGTGCGATATTTAAAGGTGGAGACAAATCTTTTGAAAGGGCTGATCAATAACTAGGATCTGAAACTCAAGTTGGGATATCCAGATGAATATTTATATATGTAGACCCTTGTCCAATGATGATACCGTTTGCACTGACATATTCTCCGGCTCCACTAGCAGATTCGGGTAAGTATATCAAGTACAATGCATTTACAACATTCACTTGTTGATTAGAGCCATCCAAACCAACCAAGGAGAGACATCGATACATCAAACCTCGGCCAAACCCATGATAGGTGCTTGCCAGTAGACGACCCCTTTCTCGTGCATGCTCTCGTACCTCTTTCCCGTCTTTGTCTCCCACTCCTTGAGCCGCTGCAGCTCTTCCTGGATCAGGGCATCTTTCTTTGCCTTCGTGCGGGGGAGGAAATGGTACCTCTCACGCGCGGGCTTGAAGTCGATCCAGTCGCAGTCCAGGTCGTGTAGCGTCTTGAGCTCGATAAGCGACTACAGGCGCGGTCAGTCAGGTCATTGATATATCAGGACTAGAATACCCACATAGTCATCCGGGTTCTCGCGCTTCAGCTGCTGGGGCTCGTTGAATGAGACGAACGGGTTGATGATGAAACGGGAATTGCGGATATGATTGCGAGAGCGGCTGTGGGGCTGGCAAACGATCTTTGAGCAAACGGACCACCCTTGTCTGCACCGTTCTTACAGTCAAGAAATGGCAAAGGAAGACATCGCCCGTCTTGCCGGTGAGCTGTCTCAAATGAGCACATCGGGTTGGCTGGCTGTATGCGGTCTTACGGTGACGAAGTCCTTACACTCGCGCACGAAACCAGGAACAACGCGGTTGCCCGAACCTTCAGGCTCGCACATATCCTCTGAGCCCTCGGGGTGCTCCAATAACCTGAGCGATGAGATCAGAGGCTATCATCGTTTATATCATCGCCTGACTGCTCACCATTTGGCAACTTTAGCAATGCCATCGGTTGCGATGTATGTCGGGCCAGCGCGCTCCTCGACGTCGCTGTAGAGCACAAGACACTCGAGAGCCTGGTTCTCGCCATCTGGTAATGAATGAGATGTCGTTGGTATGTTCTGACTCTGCGGTAACATACCAAGAAAGTGACGGAACCAGTCACCATCGCTAAACCCGCAGTTGAACGGTGAAGAGTGAGAGTTCTGACGTATACTTACACATGCCAAGGGCCTCTGAACGAACTTGTCAAACATCATATCAACCCAGGGATTTGAGACATACAAATCACGCGGGTCGATGACCTCGTTGGGATTGTACTCCGGATTGCCGAGATTGCAAATGAAGGAGTCGCCCCAGGACGCCGTCTTGCGGTCCACCCGGTCCTCGCCACCCATCAGTTCGCACATAGCACCGTACACTTTAGGTGCAAAGTCCTATGTTCCATCAGCCTAACGTAGCGGATGCCTAAGATAAGATGCTTTACCTTCGCATTCCACATCTTGTGACGGGGCATGTGGATCTGTGAACCCCATGTGATGAGGACGAGTGACTACGCAACAAGATGATCAACCTACCTCCTCCCTGGTCCACGTATTCTTGTCATGTTCATCCATACCGAGACGTACCCAAACGGTCTCTTTTGCCATCTTGAGGTGGTCCTCAGGAATGCCGCCACGAACGACCACATATCCCTTCTCAAGGAAATGGTTGGCATCCTCCTCTATAGACCCGTTTCATCAACTATCGTACACCTAGAGATCAAAAAGCAACCTACGTGTCAGGAACTTAAAGTCATGCTTCTTGGCATCGAACTTGTGTGTGAAGCCTTTCTTCATCTGAGGCCCAGTTGCAGGTGCAGACATGGTTTGTTAAAGCGATCCAAACACAACAGAATGCAAATAGATCGGAAGGAGACAAAGTCCATTACATTGAGCTCTGTGCCATATATACTGACAGTGGAGGACGGGCATAGATCCATTGGGCATTGGGCATGGTGCATGTGTTCGAGGTTACGAACTTGGTTGTACTTCGCACAACAGTGAGGTAAGGGACCAATCGGCCCGCACTCCGAAATGACATCTTCCCGATCTCATCTCCGGACCCGGTCGAAGTTTATTTATGGTCGGGGCCCCGCAGCCTTTGCGGACAACAACTTGACCGTACTCGGCAGTGCACAGAATAAACTAGGCTGCACCCATTGCAAATCTCCGAATGTTTCTCCGTCACTTACGCTCTCAAGTCATCCGGGCACGGTCCGAGCGCATATATTCGGTCAGCATCAGCGGCTAAACTCTTCAACTGTAGTGGAGGCGACTGATAAGAGTCAGCAGACGGAGAGAAGAACGAGATGTTTATGAAGGAAGAACCGGACCATGGGCCGCGGAGAGAACTTGCTATCTAAGGCACAGTGTCCAGACCACTATTCCGAGGCGAAAAGAGCACCTGTCCATCCGGGGTGATATCATAACATTCCAAACGATATACAATCAAGAAAAGTCGTAAGTATTGCAAATTACCCAATCCCTCAGTCCTTCAATCCGTCTCCTCCGTATGGTATCCCGCTCTGCGCATCGCGCCCAGTCTGTGCCTAGCGGCAGTAAGGTCCTTCTCCAGCTTGAGGATCTCGACCTGTTGTTCCATCTCAGCGACCTTGAATTCGTGCACGGCCATCTTGGAGTAGTCGACCGACTCCTCGTCCAGCTTCTTAGCGGAGATAGCCTTGACCTGCTTGACGAGCGCTTTGCACGCTTCGGTAACAGCGCGAGCAGCGAGCTCGAGCCGTTCTTGCGTCTTGGACATGAGGGATGCCTTGACGCGAGAAGCGGCGACAAGCTGGGCAGTAGCAGCCGCCACCTCGTTAGAAGCGACGATAAGCTGCTCGAGCGAGTGTGTGCCCGAGAGCAGTCCATCAGCAGTCTCGATCAGCAGATTAGTAGCAAACGCGACCGCCTTGGCAGCAGAGATGAGTCCCTCCGTCCACCGGTTATTCCTTTTATAGAACTGCTGGCTCGTGCTCGACCCTCTGCCCTGAGCGACGATCTCCTGCTGGGACTCAGTAGCAGCCTTGATAAGCCTGCCAATAGCGCTCGTGATCGCCATAGCGGCAGAAAGGATCGAGTCGTGAACCTGGACGTCGAACCCGCTGAACCGCGGGTCTTTTGGCCTCGCCATGAGTTCCTGCAAACGCTGGGTAGCAGCCTCGATCGTCCGCGCCGCGCTCAGCATCTCTTGCTCGACAACGTCGCCTATGTCTCCGTTTGTGGGCCGCGGGGCCTTGGCCTTGGGTACGATTGCGTCGAGTGCTTCTGAGAGTTTTTGCAGTGCCGACCGCGCTTGGCCGTTGTTTAACATAACCGCTTCCTTGCGCTTTTGAGGCTGCATAAGGTCGAGCTTGTAAGACTGGACATTGAGGAAGAACCTGAGGCCCATATCCCCAGCAGCCTTGGCAACATTGACAATCCTATCCGAAGCGTCGTCGTCATTGACCAACCGGGTCACCCCCTTGGTGTTAAACAACACGTCTGCGAGACTCTGGGCAAACTCGTTCGCGCCCTTGATGACGTCCACGTGGTCCCCCCCGTGCTCACCGTCGATATAGAGCGTGAAGACGGTCGCGAACTCGCTCGCGTTATTCGCGGCTTTCTCGATGAGCGAAAGCGTATACTCGGGCGTGGTCGTCTGGTTCCCTGCACCGCTAGGCGACTCGAGCTCGTAGATCGCATCGTCGACTTTCTGCACACAAGCCTGGAGGATCGAGTCTGCCCACATGACACGTGATTAGTCCTGTGTCCTGCCCAGACAGTCAAACGCCCACTCACCAATAATATCGTTCATCTTCTTCCTATTGTCCAAAATAAGGGTGTCGATCTGGGCCGTATATGCCTGGTCCGTCAAGCCCTGATTCTGCTGTACGTCCGCGACAGTCTGGAGTTGCTGGTCGATCCCTTCCTGCAAAACAGCGATCTCCTCTTCCTTCTCCTGTTTCACCCTCTCGACCTCTGCATCCTTCTCGTCGATCCGATGCAGCAAATCGTCGATCTGGATCTGCTTAGCGCGCAGCGAGTCCTCCAACTCCGTAAGCTGGCGGTTGTACTTGCTGAGCATGGACGAGACCTCGCTGCTCTTTGTGCGGGAAGCGTCCTCAGCCCGTTCGTTAGCGAATGAAAGTTCCCGCCTAATCCGGTCCAGTTCTTCCTTCTGGCTGCTCTTGCTCCTATCCAGGTCGAACCTCGCCCGATCCCGCTCGCGGATCATATCCGCCAACTCGAGGTTCTTAGCCTTGATATCCCTCTCCATCCGTTCCATCTTATCGATTGCTTCCTGGGCACTGTTGGCCTTGAGCTGGAGGGCCTTGAACTTGGAAAGCATGTCCAAGTGCTCGGAGCGTAGCTGGGAGTAGAGCTTGGCCAGGGCTTCGTACTTGTTTCGCCAGAGAGTGACCTGGTCCTGCAGCTGCTTGATAAGCTCGTCCTTGCCCTGGATCTGGGAACCAGCGTTGTTGCTAATAACCGACAGCTCTCCTTCGAGCGCTTTGACTCTCTACCGCAAGATCAGCTCAAGTCAGTCATCCTCGAAGCGCACTAACCCGATCATACTGCTCCAACATCATCTGATCCCTCTCAAACTGGCCTCTCATACCCAAGAGCTCGCGCTCAAGCTCGTTAACCCTCTGCGCGGCCTGCTGCTGACCCCACATCTGCTGCTGTTCCGCCCACTGCCTCTGTTGGTTCTCCAGCACCTCCCGTTCCCTCTTCTCCCGCTCGGCCTGCTCAGCCTGCCGCTCGGAGAACTCGCGCGCTTCACGCGCTTGTTGCTCTTTGATCTTCTGCTCTTCGGCTGACCGTTGTTGTTGTAAAGCGGCCTGCTTGTCCTCGTACTCTTTCAGCATACGCGCTTGTTCAGCTATCATAGCCTGATCCGGAGCTGGGCTCGGAGCAGCGGGGGGACTTTTGGGCGCAGCGAACCCGTTCCCGGATGGGGCACCAGCGTCCTTCGGCCGCGCAGGGAGATCGGGTGCAACTCCGCTGTCCATCAGGTTAGGCGGTTCTTGCCCCAGCTTGGGGACGTTTATGAGCCCAGTGAGGTACTTGAGGTTACTGCACTCGTAGTAGAACTTGCGTAACGCATAATGCTGCGCGTTGTACCTCTGCCTCAGGGGTTCCAGGGCCTCCATATCGCCCGTGCGGCGATGCATAGCACGCAACATGGAGGTGATGAATCTGTATATGCCATAGGACTCCTTGACAAGAGGGACGAGGGCGCTGATCCTGCACTCGTTGTTTGTCGAACCGCGGAAATGGGAGAAGATCAGCTTTTGGAAATTCTCGATCTGGTCCTGCAGGTTCATCAGGTCGGTGATCGTTTCGTACCTGCGTGGAGTCAGCGGGGAAGGACGGAGGAGGGAGGACAGAGGGCATACCCTTCGTTAGGGTCGTCAATCCCCTTCAGGGAGATGTACTCTTCGTACTCGAAGAGCCCGTTAAAGTCCGGGTGGACGCGGTGGAACCTCAGCTTGGCGAGGATGAAAGACACATATGCGCGAATGAGGCTTCCATAGCCTGCGCATATGAACTAAGTTCTAGAACGACACACAAGTATGCACACGCACCTTTCTGCCCATCGTTCCCCACTGTCCGGGCACACGTCTCCAGCCAGCCAGTCTGGTTCTGCGCTTCTTTCAAAACGATCGGATGCCCTTCCTGGAGGACTTTATGCACCAGGATAAGGCTCTTAAACGTCTGCACCTCATCCGATAAGATTGGTTGTACTCTGAGTCCCGCCCACAGGCTCTGAGACGAATGGTAGTCCCAAGTATAGACGATACACCTCCGTACGTGCTTTTGCTTTGGGGCGGTCTCATCCCCATTGGTCGCTTTCTTGATCGTGATCGCCAGCTCTGCTTCGGCCTTGTCCTTATCCACCGGGCGTGTGGGGTAGTGCACGGTAGACGCAGTCCCGGCGCCGTAGCGTGTTGCGCGTGCCTCTGCTGGTGAGCCGTAGTCGTCATACTCCCTCTCGTCGAGGAAGTCTGACTGGGGCTCCCGTTGGCTGCGACCGAAGAATCTGTGAAGGGTTTAGCAATGATTGAAGGGGTGATTCTATGAAAGGACATACGACATTAACCCTAGTTAGTAGTGGGAGGAAAGCAAGCCTGGATATAAGAGTATGAGCAGCGTTGTCGACTGTGCGCAGTGAGCGCTTCCCTCATATCAATGCACCGCCTTTCCGTGAATGTTCCTTCAACCTCATTCTGCCTCCGTGTCTGATCCCGTTACTTCCCAAAAGTGGAAATGACATTTGATAAACTCATCTTAGGTGCATTACACGATGCATACACTCACCCGCACTGTCCGTTCTTCATCTCTCGCAGTGAGACACACTCATATACCTCATCGACGCATGTTCTTCTGGGTATTCTGGTACTCCTATCCTCCACATAAACAACAACAACGTGACCCCCAATGGGACAACCGACAACCAGAATGCATCCTCCCACAAACAGTAATAATTCACTCATCACGCTCATCCCAGTCCTCCTCATCATCCCTCACCACCACCCTCTCCCAGTCAAACTCCTACATCCCCCCTCCTCCCCCACCACCTCGCAAACCAACGTTCACAGCCCGACTACGTTCTTCTCCAGCAGCGATGTTACTCGGTATCATCCCTCTCCTCACTCTGGGCCTCGGGTTCTGGCAGGTCTATAGGCTCAGATGGAAGTTAGCACTCATAGACGAGTTGGAGGACAAGCTCGGTAGAGAAGCGTTATGGCTTCCAGGGAGGATCAAGTACGTCTCTCCCTTCCTTCCTCTCCCGTCATCCTCGCCAGACAGCTGACAACCCCCAGCGTCGACAAACTCCCAGAATTTCAGTACCGCCGCGTTCTTGCACAAGGAACCTACCTCCCCAGTCAAACGATATACGTCGGCCCGCGGACGTACGACGGCGTCCACGGGTATCACGCGATCACCCCCCTTGCGCGTCCGGGGGGGAGCACGATCTTCATAAATAGGGGTTTTGTGCCTAAGGACTTTTGCCCTGGAGGGCCGAAGTACGCTGGGTCCCCCTTAGCTTTGGAGCGCACAGGGGGGGAGGTGACTATCGAGGGCCTCCTTAGGCAGTCCTCGACCCGAGGGACGTTCGTCCCGGAAAACGAGCCCGAAAAGGGAGTGTACTACTGGGTCGACCTTCCCCTCCTCTCCGAGCGGATGGGAGAATCGGCACAGCCGGTACTGGTGGACGAAGTGTACGAGGGCCACTTGGGGCTTGTGGCTGAGAAACTTGCCAGGGGGGAACCGGTGGGACGGAAGGCGAAGGTGGAGATGAGGAACCAGCATGCGGTTTATGCGGCTACTTGGTGCGTCCCTGATTGGGTGAACTTGAGTGGGACTGATGGGTTGTGATAGGTTCTCGTTGAGCGCTGCTACGGCGGCGATGTTCTGGGCGTTGATGTCAAAAGGGCGCGTTTCGGGCAAAGGGAAGAAATGGAGGCCATAGACCTTGCTCAGGCCGAGGAAGCTACAAGGGGGGAAAGGAAGAGCCAATGTATTATCTTACCACAACTCTTTATTCCCATTTGTGCTCGGAGTGCTGCGTGCCTAATGAAAAGGAAAGAAGAAAGGGTAGATTGCAGGTGGTACAGTGCGATATTAGGGTATATGCTGAGATTAGAAGGACAAAGTCAAGGCCACAAGTAGTCCAAGAAGAGCACCCAACGGATCAGCCACCACAGAAACACGAACAGTTTCACCACGGCCTTGTATGCCCACTTGGGAATGCGGAAAAACACGAGCTGTATGATCTTTGCCACGAACCAGACGACAAAGAGCAGGACTTCAGCAAGCGCGGCGAGAATGGTGAAGAACCACGAGTTGCCAACGTGACGCGTTTTAAGCGCGTGGATCCTGTCGTCGAGCCTGTTCATTACTTGGAGTTCGGAGAAATACTGGGCTTGGGAGGCTTCGACTGCGGTCTGCATCCGTGCATGGGTCTGGAAAGCAGATTGTTGGAGGGAGAAGAGCGCGTCGAGTCGCGTGTCTATTTCTTGCCATTGGTGGGTGAGGTGCTCCAATGTGGATTGGATATGCGGCAGAGGGTCGACGTTGGGCTCGTCAGACTGGGGGAGGGAGGCAGAACGGGAAGGGGGTATGGGCCGGACACGAGGAATGGAGGAAGACTCCTCCGCGTCGGAGGTGGGAAGGGGCTCGCTGATCGTCCGTGGTAGACCGGTGCGGGGTGAAGTGAGGACGTGCGGGCCTCCGGCGGCCTCCGATAGGTTTCTTACTACTGATAGGTCTTGAGGGCGAGGTCTAGGGGAAGGCATGGGAGCCGAGGGAAGATTATCTGGAAGAGGAGGAAGCGCGACTGGAGCCCCGGTGTGCATCGTTAGCGTTTGGGCGCGCATGTCCAGTAACTCTTGCGCGAGGTGCTTGATTCGAGCCGAAGCTAGGACATTGTCCATCCTTGATACTTGCAATTGGACATTGTTCAAAATCCTTTGTCAATATCAGCCTGAGACCACGTGATTGAAGTACACGGCCGTACCTGCTCTTGCGCTCATATTCAGCAGCCTCTTCCTCCGAATCCACAGACTCCTCCGGTTCTTCTTCTTCCTCCTTCTCAAATCCCGGCACATTAGGCAAGACGATCTTCGCCGACTCCTGGATCGGTCCAGGAGTAGCTAAGCTCAGCGCGCTGTCCAGCGGCGAATTCTCCGCCCCGGCTGCAAGCGCACGCCTATTAAATTTGAGAGAGGGCAGTTTCCGCTTCGTCTTAGTTCCCCGGCCACGCCTCCACGGTAAATCAGTTCCGGACCCGACATCGTTATCACTGTTGACAGCGCTGAGCAAGTGTTCGCTCGCGCTGCCGTCGGGACTCTTGTCCCTCGTTTCCTCCAAGCTCAGCCGCAGCCGAACAGGTGCCCATCGCTTGCCAGTGATACTCTGCTTGCTACTCGCCACCCCAGACGGCGCAGCGCCAAATGCCTCCTGGCTCCCAGCAACGCTCCCAGAAAGGTTGAGGAAGTTGCCAAACGCTTGGCTGATACTGCCGCCCCTACCCATGGCGATGGAGTGTGACCGGTGAAACCTCGGGGACCGAGAAGGGGACTGATCTTCCCTTCCACTGACCGGAGACTCTGGCGCAGATAGCAACAAATCTCGTCGCTTTTCTGCCCGGAAGGTGGCATCAGTTGGACTCTCCGGTTCATCTTCGGTCACCAGACTAAGTTGCCTCTTGCCATGCGTTGGAGGAACCACATTGAGGTGTACTGGTCGGCCTCTCCCCATCGGACCGATATGGTTTTCCGCAGCTGAATCGTCCGCGCTCGTAATGGAGATAACACTGGGCGGGGCCGACTTGTCCTGCCCAGGTACTCCGACCGTTCTTCGCAAAATCTTCTCCAACTCCATAGATTCGCGTTCTTCGCTGGAACGGACGTCGCGCTCGTGTCCTACCGGGGGGACGAAGGGCTCCACAGTTCCGGAACACGCAAGGAATTCCATGATATCCTGGGCTGTGAAATCCCAATCGCTAGACTTGCCGATCATTCCAGCAGAGTCCCAGGCCAGAGCAGTGCTGCTTCCGCTCAATACAGAGCGTTTGCGACGATGCTTAGCCATAATGAGCTGTTCGGCCCAATGTGATGCCATTTCTGATGAGACCGACTGGGGAATTGCAGACTGAGAGGACATGTTGAAAGAGCCGCGTCGGGAATCGATGTTACTCGGTGAACTTGTTATGCTCTTGACGCCTAGCTCTCCAGCAGAATCAGTCGTGTTTACTCGACTGAGCGACTGTCCTCTCGAGAGTGCAACGCGGCTTTCGTGTCGCCGTTTTAGCCTTCCAATGTCCCGCACGGATCGCTTCCACTTTACAACGTCAAGGAATGTGGGTGGCCTCCCGCCATGGTGCGGTGGTGCAGAAAGAAGATAAGAATAGCGAGCCTCGAATTGCATCTTAGCAGATTCGGCTCGGGATTGGGTAGAATGCGTGAGTGTGGAGTGTATATGTCGTATTCGTTCTTCCTGTCGCGTCAGATCAGGAAATGGTCTAACATGAATTCACATACCGATGCGCTGCATCTCTTCAGCCCGTATGCGTACTTCCTCTTCTTCCGGAGTCATCTTTTCTCTTCCTTTCTTTGTTCCGCTCAGAATGCGCATGATCCTACCCCTCTCCTTCCCACTTTCAGCTCTGGAAGAATCGGGCGATCCTGAGTGCAGCCGCAGGTCCTCGACTCGCAGAGGGGAGGACGAAGTAGCAAACGAGGAGGAGCGCCGGGTTCCAACAGCAGGAGGAGGAGGAGGGTTGAGAGGCGCAGTCGAAGTAGAGATGCCAAAGTCCTGTCTAGGTGGAGGAGACTGCTCCTGTAAAGCTTGCATGACCAAATCCATATCGATTCGAGCAAGTCGCTGCTGGAGCTGCTCATTCTCTTTATTATCTTCAGTCATTTTGTGAACTATTCACGTTTGGATTACTCACCGGTACCACCCGGTCCCTTTCGTGAGCTCGCACTTGCGGTCAGCCCCGGGTTTAAACTGTTCTCCCCAAACTCCCACACCTCCGCGTCCTCCTTCTTCACCGGTCGCGCATTTCGCAGTCTCGCCATGCTGGTGCGCCTAGCAGTTACACTGCTTGGTGCAGTAGTATATGCACTGGCCGCCAGACTTGCTCGCCGATCATGTGGGCTCGATAAGGGGTCGGCGGAGATCGGACGGGATGTCCGCCTTTGTGAGGGTAGATGAGGCTGTGGTGTGCGACGACCCGTCGAGTGGGGCCCGCTAGGTTGCAAGAGACGTGAAGACGAGGATGGTGATGGGTGGACATCGGAGGCGAAGTGCAGATGATGAGCTGCCGGAGATGACGAGACACGATCCCGCCGTCCGGAAGACGAGACGGTCGATGAATTGGACGCTGCTGATGGCAGGTCTGGACTTGGCGCGTCTGAGATGTCGGACCGCATAGTTGGGCTACAAAATGGATGTACACGACTTCATTTGGTGTCGAGTTCGATGCGGTAGACGATGAGCTCGTGGTGGACGTCGATGTGGGCGGTGGGAGGGGTGGGGATCCCTTGTGTGGCACGTCACTCCAAAGGACGACCAGGAACGTGATTTACGTAATTTGCTGTGCCTCAACATGTGAAGCCATTCTACAAGCGGCGATCCTTCACTACTGCTTGCTAAGTATAACGCCATACTAGTTAACACGAAGGCGCCCCTCTCATGGAAAGCACTTGAATGATCACTGTCAGCGGCCGACGTCTTATGCCGCCATCTTTCCGATGAGGGCGTCTTCTCCTGGCACAAGTCATTCTATGTTCATCCGGGATATTTCAAGCACACTTGCCTTGAAGAGCCTCCTTGATAGTATATTCTATCTTCTGAAGCCCGGCGCTCATGTCCGGGACAGCGTTGGCGTGGAGCTCGGCAGCTTCATTGGTGTGCAACTGGAGGCCATCTCGATTGACATAGACATTGCGTTTGAAAGGTATGACACACCTGGACTGTGTTGTGTGTCTCAAAGACCTTCATCCAAATCTTGTGGATGTTTTCTGTAAGCTCGGCGTCCTTCTCTCGGAATGTGGCATATATTTCCGACCTGAGGTATCGAGATCAGTTCAAGACCTACTGAAAGCGGAGAACAGCTCGCATGTCTTGCTTGGCTTTCTCCTTGATCTGTTCCGTTTGGTTCACCTCGGTATATGCGTCAGGATATAGCATATATGCGCCTCTCGCGCACTCACATAATCCGCTTTAGTCTTCTCCATCGCCTTCAAAAGTTCTTTCTCTCGTTGGGTCTTTTTCTCATCTCGAGACTCTGACGAAAGTCAGCATTTCATGAAAGGATGTCGATCTCATAACCGTACTTTTGTACACCTTGATCATGTCCTGGAGGTCGCTGCATGATCCTGGCTCAGCGACCTTTCTGACAGGCTGCATATATGCGCTCTGCTTACCTAGGCTCGGACCCGTCGCTATTGGATGACCCCTGAGAAGCTTGACGCATTCTAGCTGGCATTATTTATATATGTTGTACCGAGTCTTATATGGGCGTAACACGCGAAAATGTGCTTCGGAAGATGACGAGGAAGAGACGTGGTTGTTGGCTTGACGCGTCGAAACCCTTTGATAGGCACATAACACCCGCGATCAGGTAACACAACAGCTCCTCATTGCGTATTGTATGCCATACAAAGTGCTGCATCGTATGCATGTTCTGCATGTTCTACCTAGAGTGTCCGGAGATATACATGCATTGCATAAAGGAACGTAAGTGCAAAAGAAAGAGAAAGAAAGCAATCAAGTTGTCAAGACAAATGGAAGAGATACAGTAATGGACAGGCGTCACTAACCAGCAGAACACCAAGTATTGATAGCTTTCTGATGTCCAGCAGTTTGAATATCAAGCTCGGGATCCTACGGCGATGCGACAGATTGCGGGGTGGGGTAAGAAGCTGCAGGGGATGGGGGACGCATTTGCAGAGCTTGGGCATGTAACTTCATCTGCGCCACCACGTGCGAGTTGGCGTAGCGTTGCAGATCCCCGAATGAAAGGGCATTCACGCCCTGCTGAGCTTGCAAGTCCCTGACCAGTTTCTCCGAGATCCGATTGAATGTTTGCTGGAAGCAGACGAGGCCCTATTGTCTGTGCAGTGTAGCAAGGTCGTTTACTGGGATGTCCGGAAATGATATAGGAGGCCGCTCCTGTGATTGGGCTGCTTGCACGGCTATCTGCTGAGCTTGATACTGAAGTTGTGGGTGAACTGGCGCGTTCTGCTGGATAAAGGGCTGCGGAGGAGGTGCGGGGTGAAGCGGGGGCTGTTGCACGAACTGTGGCGTAGTTGGTTCAGGATGAGATGGCACAGGAGATGGGGTGTTGATCTGCATTTGTGGCTGGGGGATCGGTGCCGGATGGAGATGAGAATGCGCGTGTGGTTCGGCGCACAACGGGGCTTTCGCTTGTTCGGGTATCGGAAGCGCTGCCTGGTCCCGGTGGATACCGGTTGTCAATATCCAGCTCATCCAATACAGCTCCATCCCGTCCGTCAAGGCCATCTTCCTCGGTTGCCAGCCAACAATAGATCTTGCGAGCGACGGACGCGTTACCATTGATGTCGACAAGGCATAGTTCTCCAGGCTCTTCTCTTGGGTGAAGGCGAGCTCGTTGCATCCCGATGCCCTGCTCAGCGCCCTGATCACATCTTCCGCGGACTCTGAGGACAAGTTGCAAGCATCGAAGCACAGTCCCTTGCAAATTGGAGCCTCAAGAAAGAGTTAGAATCTGCTAGGTTCAAAATTGTGATGATGACGAACCGCTTCCGCGATGTTGACATAGAGATTAGCCAGATCATCAAGATGAATTGTCGACCATCGGGATTGGTAATTTTCCGGGCATGTAATCTTTCCATACCAAGCGCTCTTGAATAGCTTGTTCAACATTCCCATGGTCTGGCCGTAGACGAGACCCGGTCTAACAATGATTGGCATCAACTCATGTTTGTTGAGAATCAACGCTTCGACGTTGACCTTCTCCTGATACTGTGCACATGTTCTTCAGCATGCCTGATACGATAGGATGGAAGACAATAAACATACCCATGCTGGCACACGGGACATGTCCCCGTTCCGCTCATCTACTATCGTCAAACCCATTTTCCCTTGTGGCTCACTAGCTCCATGGACCCAGATGCCGCTGGTATATATGTAAGCGACGGGGTGATTCCGCCTGCCTGACTCTGGTGAGACACTGCATGTTGCGATACGGTTGATACACATGATGGAGGTATCAGCAGAGTCCATACAGTCGACGATGACGTCGAAGCTGTTGAGACATGAATCCCAAGTGCGCCAAGGGACTGGTGCAATCTCTGCTACAGCAAGATCTGCAGACCCGGATTCGTTCCGATAAGTGGCAGCTGTCTCATGACCTGTGCAATCCACAATCAACATCAATCGATGAAGAATGGTGATATGCATTACCGGCTCTCGAGAACGCGCAAGCCACCCCATATCCAACGTAACCAGTTCCGCTGTGAGGATCGAATCAGTGATCCTTCTCAGGAAGTCTGAGCCCTATGAACGCACCCAAGAACTAGAACCTTCATCTCAGAAGCTGCTGTTTCTGTTTCTACAAAGGCGTTTCTGTAATGCCAGCTTCAAGTCGAAACTTTGAATATTGACACTGTCCACCACAAGTTGAACGAGAGTGCTGTTGGAGGAGCTGCTGGGGACCAGTGAAGGAGGAGAGCAATGCGAATGAGGAAGGGGAGAGTAACAAAGGCGGGCAGTACTAGGCGGTTAACTTCACCCGAGTATATAGGGGCCGCGGGAGGCTTCTACCGTTTTCATTGTGCAGAAAACTCCGGTCAAACAAACTCCACGCGATTTGCACGCTTCTGAACAAAAGAAACCCTGGATGTCCTTCCTTTTCAGAGGCGCCGGATGATTGCTCCCGTGGAAACAAGGACGGAGGCATTTGCTTTGTAATTACAACGTGAGCCCTGACCTGAGAAGAGAGGCGCGTCCTTGACGCGTCTACTGGCGACACGAGTGTACACGATGGACGGCAACGCCATCGCTATCGATTTGGCTCAACTGCGGTCGGATTTGAAGGCTTGGGAACGCGAATTCAAAGCGAGAAAGGGACGGGAGCCAACGAGGGATGATATCAAGAAAGTTCCGGCCATCGGTACGTGAGTCGCGACGTACATGATAGCAACTATTGACGCGTCCGTAGACACCAAGTACAAAACGTACAACAAAGCGCGATCAAGGCCGGGAACGTCGTCCTCGGCCGCATCGCAAGTCGGGGTCAAACAAAATAAGAAACCAATAGAACGCCCTTCGAATCGCCCGTCCCCAACCGCATCAAGCTCGACCACGGTAGAAAGCATCGGGAATGCCGAGGAGTCATTCAACCCCTTCCGCTCACCGCGCAAAGGGGGTCCGTCTATTGGACGGTCTCCTGTCAAACCAAAACTGGGCATCCTCTTTACGGACCAGAATCCATTCGCCGCCGATGATAAACAAACTACTCCGACCACTGCTCTATTCGCCAAGCTGACTGGTTCATCTCCGGCTAACAATCTGTCTGGCGGTACACTGAAAAAGTCTTTGTTTATGAGCGCTACTCCTCCTGAATTGCCTCCTTCTCCATCCAAGTCCATACTCAAGCCCTCATCTGCACCCATTGTCCTGACAGATGTCGAACCCAACGTGGCTCTCACGCCCTCGAAATACGTATCAGCTGCATCCCCCGCCAAGCTGCGAGCATTAATCCAGGCTAGTAAGACTGCTGATACCCCCCGGACCAAGGCTCGGAAACGTCTCGCGGGAGAGGAAGACTTCACACCTGTCAAGTCGGACAAGCGCCGTCGACTGAACAATCTCGTAAATGTCAAAGTGCCCAGCAGCGAAGTCGAGGAAATGGAACGATCTGTCACGGAAGAAGAGATGATGGACGTTGACGAGTTCGGTCCCACGCCGAAAAAGACGGACGCGCCAAAACGCTTCAAATCTATCTTCGAGTCACCTATGAAGCAGGAAAGTAAAGGGAAAGGTCTATTCTCAAAGCGCACTGTCTCGTTCACCGGCCCTTCCTCAAGCCGAGAAAACTCAAAGCAGCCTTCGGAACCCCCCCAACCGTCGACCTCTCTCAAACGCCCGACTTCTCCAGAACCTGGATCGTCGAAACCTATGTCTGCAGGACTTATCCCACCCTCCCCCCCCGCTACCACGACAGCTTCGAAAATTAAAGCTCGAAAAAAACCAAAGAAGGGCAAGAAAACACAGAAGGATGAAATTGAGGAAAACATGTCATCAAGTGACTCCGAAATCCAAATCAGAGAGATCCCCTATTCACGTTGGGGCGGTATGCAGGCGCGCCGCCGTCCCCGTGGAGGACCTGAAGACGAAGAGGATGAGATCTGGGACTTTGACGTCTTCCGCCCCGCTCCTGCGCTCTCACAGGATTCAGCAATCGCAGAGGAAGCGGATGAAGAGCTCACGGTAAGGCTGCCCACGGATATGTTCGACCTGCTCGACTTGGACTCGCCTGTGAAGAATCGTGAACAGGAAGAACGAGTCATACAGCGGATTTTTGACCCGAGGAGAAAGGGGAGCGTGGAACAAGAGGTGTTTGGCGCTGGAGAGTGGGAGGAAGAAGAAGACGAAGGGGACTGGCAGGAGGAGCCTGACGGATGGAAGGGAGAATCGCAACTGGATATGGATGACTTCTAGCATTATCACGGCGCCACATGGTTTACTCATTTAACATGATAGAAAATGTATACAACGGATCGCGTACCATTATCATACATTATGTGTGCACATGGGACGATGTATCATACAACAACATGACGCTACACGTACGACTCATCCGGATTATCGGCGTTCACGAGTCCTAACGGTTGTTGCCCTGACGCCTCCTCGATCCCCCCTTCGTGGTTGACGACCTCCTCACCCTCCATCAATCCCACCTCCGCAATTTGCTCAAGCGTCATATGCCCATACGGCTGTCCGTCGTAGCCTTCACCCATCATGTCGTCTGTGCCTTCTTCGTGGGGGAACCCGGGCCCAGAGGTGGCGTCATAGTCGCCGTCAGTCTGAGGGACGTTCAGATCCGCGTCTTCCTCCCCTTCGCCTTCTTCGCCTTCCTCTACCTCTGCACCCTGCTTCTCATCCTTTTCAGGCTCTTCCTCGTCGTCCGCCTCTGCTTCTTCCCCTTCCTCCGGCTCCTCACCTTCCTCCTCCTCTTCCTCCTCCGTTTCTGGCTTTAGCTCTTTCCTCAGGGGATGGGGCCTAATTTCCTTAGGAGTCTGTATCCCTGAGGCGGGAAAGCTACCACCATCGATGGGCGTCGAGTCACCCTCGTCAGGTTCGCGCGACTCCTCGTCTTCTGATGAGCCGGCTTCATCCGCCCCTTCCCCAGCCACGCCATGATCCGCTGCAGCTCCGAGCGCTTGTTCTAGGGCAGTGTCATCTTCGTCATCACTCCATTGCTGTCATAAGACAAGAGAAGTACGTGTCAGACTATCGGCTGAATATAATGAGAACATGTGAAGAACGTACAAGCTTCTCATCACTCTTTACCCATTTCATCAGCTTCAATCCCGGGCTGCCTCCTACGGGTGTTACCCATTCCTTTTTCCATGGCTGGACAGGAAGTAGTAGCGCGCGGCGGTATGCTTCATTGGCTGAGGACTGCGGTGGTCGGCGGTGGGGTCGTGACATTTTCGGCTTGCAGCTTCAGCACAGGAAGAAGCGCGTCACGTTCAGAGGACAGAATTGAGTGGCGTGTCTTTGTTGGACACGTGACCTAGCGCGCGTGGGCTCAGGGTTTTTTTATGGGCCGAGGGTTAGGAAGCGCCCGGTGGCTGTACGGGCGCTCCCTGCGTTCTTGGGCGAATCGGGAGTGAGATGCCGTGATTATTACGACCACGCTATTCTCGGAATTGAGAAGGATTTGATTTCAATATCAAACACCCAGTCATTCTCACTGCCCTCAATCATTTTGGCGCATCTTCTCCAGGTTGAGAAGTTCCACGAGGTAAATATAACTCACTTCGGCAGAGCATCTTGCTCCTTGCTGACGACCACCACTGCCCCCCAGGATGACCGCCTCCGCTGCTACCATCCATAGCGAGCGCACTCCCCTCTTATCTTCTACTGAACGCGATTCCTCACCTCCGACCGCCCTCACAACCTCCGATGCTTCTACCTTAGTCGACGGACCGCCCGATGTCGACCCTCCCTCCCCTGCAGAAGATGACGAGGATCGCCCTCTGCCGCTCTGGCAGATGTTCCTCCTCTGCTTTGCTCGACTTGTTGAGCCCGTCGCGTTCTTCAGCATATTCCCCTTTGTGAGCGAGATGATCCACGAGAGCGGCAGCGTGCCTGACGCCGAGGTCGGTTTCTGGAGCGGGTGGATCGTACGTCTACCTTCTGTCTCGGGGCCTCCACAATTGATAATCCGCGGTACAGGAAAGTTGTTTCTCTCTGACTCAGACAGTATTCATGCTCTTCTGGGGTCGTGCTTCGGACAAATACGGCCGGAAACCCGTGCTCATTGCCTCCCTATCCGGTGTCGCCGTCGCCAGCGTCTTGTTCGGTCTCTCGAAGAGCGTATGGCAAATGATCGCCCTTCGCTCCGTTGCTGGCATCTTCGCGGGAACGATCGTGTACGCTCCACTCCCCTCCTTTCTACACTAATCAGAGGCACTTACCGAGGATTTTGTAATGCACAGCACCGTTCGGACGATGATTACAGAGAATTCGACACAGAAGACCCAAGCGCGCGCGTTCAGCTTCTTCGCCTTCGCAGGCAACATTGGTATTTTCCTTGGACCCGTCATCGGTGGGGGGCTCTCCAAGCCTGCAACCCAGTTGCCAGCAGTGTTTGGCGGATCGTGGTTACTCCGGGAATATCCATATCTTCTCCCATGCCTCATTTCTGGCGGATTGGCAGCTGTTGCAGCAGTGATCAACCTGATTTGGCTGAAGGAGGTGCGATATCCTATCCTACCCCATCAGCACTGGAGCTGATTCGATCGTGCAGACACGCAAGCTGCAGAAAGACCACCATGCGATCGTGCTCACCCCTCCATCAATGCGCGAAGTCGTCTCTGGCCCCGGTGTGATCCCCGTCCTATGCATCTTCGAATACGCCCTCCTCCTGGGCGTAGCCTTCACCGCCATGTGCCCCGTGTTCTTCTACACTCCTATCGAGCTGGGCGGGTACAACTTCACCCCTCCTCAGATATCGCTCTACCTCGCCATCGCTGGGATATCCCAAGCCATCTGGCTGCTTCTCGTCTTTCCTCCGCTCGTGAACCGCATCGGCACGGGTAAGCTGCTCCGGTTATGCGCCTGCGCATGGCCGATCACATTCATGGCGCTGCCTTTGATGAACATTCTCCTTCGGCACGGCCAGTGGACCGCGTTCTGGGTAATAATGCCAATGATCATTATAACCAGCTCTGGGGTGAGCATGGCCTTCAGTACGTCTCATTTTTTTTTCCCTATGACTGTCCATGCTCACCGATGTTAACGCAGCCGCCGTCCAGCTAGCGCTGAACGACATCTCCCCGAACCCACTTGCGCACGGGACGCTCAACGGCGTCGCCCTCTCCCTACAGTCGGCAGTGCGTGCTGTCGCACCCGCGACGTACAATACGGTCTATGCGATAGGAGTGGAACGACAGATTCTCTGGGGCGAGTTGGGATTCGCGATGCTTATTGTGACCGCCTTTGGGTTCATTGTCCTATTAAAGTGGCTTCCGGAGCAGGCAGAGGGAAGGCCGAAGAAGAAAGCAGATGAGGAGACACAGAGGGAGGAGGCACAGTAATTGCCAGACGGTTACTGGTGTTCTAAGTGGATGTTGCAATTGAGGTGTATTGCATGCGTGTAGAACTAGTCAAGCTGCTAGAACGGACATCCCCATAAAGGCTCAGAAAGTACATGTGCAGGAGGGATAATCTCTCGCAGGGGTCGAAGATTATCACAACTTGAATAACTCCGGCTTCATATTCTACAAGGCGCGTTAGAAGACGTACATATACGGAATGAAGCGCGCACCATCTTACACAACCTCGCCACCAACCCAGCAAGCTGCATCTTCGTTCCCACGCCTTCGAGTACTCGCATGTGAGTCCATCCAATCTCCTATAGACAGGACGAATCAAATGCGTCAATAGACGGGGTTGAAGGAAATGCGCACCCTGATATACTCCAACTTCGAATATTCCTGGAGCCTATCATCGCTGTCAATCGGGTTGCCACACCAAAGCTACGAACTCACTCATTGAACGTCTTAGTAACCCTGAACAGAGTCACCACAATATCCACCGCGCTGTAACCCTGACCCCATAGCTCATCTAGCTTGTCCATCGTGCCCTGAACATCGCCCTTGTGGCAACTGCGGAGCATCGCTTGTATGAGCACAGGATGCGGTTGATCGCACACCTTGAAGACATTGTCGCCATTCACGAAGCCAAACCCGGACCACGTTGACTGAATGTTGTTGATCGCTTGGCGCATGTCGCCTTCTGCCGTGAAGATGAGGGCGGTCAGGCCTTCATCATTGTATTTTACCTTGGTGAAGGTTAGCGGTTCAGATCAAAGATCATAATATGGCAATCGCACTTTCTCCGCCTCGCATATCTCAAGTAATCGCTTCAACACCTCCTGATCTCTCAGCTTTGAGTATCGTAGAATGGCACACCGACTCTGTATCGGTTCGATAATCTTGTTGGATTGATTGCAAGCCAATGCGAATCGCGTTGTGTTTGAGTAGATCTCCATTGTCCGTCGTAGTGCTTGCTGTGCGCCTGCTGTCATGCTGAGGAAAGTCATTATCCCGAATCTTCGAATGAGAATAGGGCATGCAGTTCTCACCTATCAGCTTCGTCAAGGATGATAATCTTGTGTCGGCCAGGTGGAAGGGTGACCTTCTTTTGTGCAAACGTTTTGATCTTATTTCGAACAACATCGATACCACTAAGAGCTTACATTCAGTTGAAAGCAAATTCCATGAGCCAGTCGTAACGTACCGCTCATCCGATGCGTTCAGCTCAAGGACCCCTTCCTTGTATGCGTCACCCAATAATGCATGTGCGAGACAGTGTATGCTGGTTGTTTTGCCAATGCCCGGCATTCCCTGCACACGGTATTCAATGGAATCCGACAATTTAGAATGATCGCCCGACCGATATTATGATATGTGGACAATTGCCGTCTCTTGCGATGACCTTCAGTCTGTCAATGGTATCCGTGTTGCCCACGACATCGTCCAGAACTCTTGGTCGGTACTTCTCCACCCTGCACAAACGTGTCAGAACAGCAAATCATTCTTCTAAAAACATATACACACCAAGGCATCTCATATCCAGGCTCTGTTGCTTTTCCATTGGCCACTTCCTTCCCCTTGCTCGAACTGGACATCTTGTCAAGAAGGGAATGCTCGGGGCACCCGTACCTCGGGCCCCCGTGCACAAACCCGTGAACGGGGCGCAATGTAGCCCCGCCACGGAATCGCTTGTTCCCGCAAAGACCCCGCGATCCAGCTCATCCAGCCCTACTACCACCCAATCTGGACAGAACCCTTGGGTCTTGGTCTGCCCCCTTCGGAGGCAACCTAGACCAGCAAGACCTAGTGCACGTGACTAGAGAAACACGTGCATCACGCAATGTACACCCTAGGGATAAACTGGTACTAGTCCTTGCTATTCCTTTTTGAACTAATGCCTGTCTCTCAAAAGAACACTTTCTCCTCCCCATCGACCATTCCCCACAACCATGCATCAACCTCTAGAGCCTTCTGGATTGTTGACTTCAAGGATAGTGCCACTTGAAGGCAAAAACACCACATCAATGTGAGGAAGGAGTACCAACATGGCCTTGCCCCTCATATTACCTTGGCAAAGCAAGAGACCTTAAACTACAAGGCCATCTACACGTACAAGGAACAGCTAAAAGAAGAAGTGAGTTTGCAGTGAAGTGGTATGCATGTTCTCCCTGGGTTCACAATCCACACTGACCTACTTGGATCACCAGTGCCTGATGACACACAAGCATTCCAGTACCTCATGGAAAGCTATGGTGGGGCCAACTCAATGATGGATGAGGCACTGTTGATGTGGGGATTCCCAGTGCAATCCCCTTCGGACAAGGAGAGAGGGATGAGGACACTGGGGATGAGTGGGAGACAGATGAACAGTCAGCGTGGGTTGCATGCATTATGAAACCAACATCAGTATGACCACCCATTCCTGCAAAGGTTTTGAGTTCTGATTATGCCTATCTAGGGCATCCCACCATGGTTCAGGATATGCTAGAGGACAAGGCTGTTATGCAGAGCAACTCGCCTTCATGGCAAGTCATTGGCAGCACCTTGTACCTTCAATCAAATGTGCATTCATGAGTTGGCGACATGGTGGGGGTGCAGTAGGCTTGGTGGATAATAATGAGTTGATGAGTGAGGAGAATCAAAACATGGACTTAGTTTAGTTGCAAATTGTGACTTGGAAGAGTAAGTCATGATGCTGCATTCCACAAATCCAATTCATGTCATCTTACTGGCTGTCTGTAGGTGTTGAGCACTGTCAGTCTCACTGCTCAAATGATGGAGAAGATCTTATTGCACACTTGGTCGAGCAGGGATTCATGCCATGTACCCCTGCTATCCCTCATGTTGCAATCTCGCTGGATGTACTGGAAGTCCTCCACCACTGTTGTATTTGAGCCTATGTGTCACATGAGGCCTTTGCTCATATCTTGTGTGATTTACATTGAGTGAGTAGAGTTTCCTTTTTTCTTGGTTGCTCACGGATTGACTGGAGAGCAGCACCCATATCAACACTACTTTCAAATCCAGCTGTGTCAAGCATATGATGCATGGGTCGAGATGATCATGTACATCAAAGGGCTAGTGAAGGCGGGCTTTGGTTATGATGCCCCTAATTGGTGCTTGCTCAACTCATGCAGTGCTTGTGAGTATCAAGTGAGTTCTGTGAATTAGATCTAGGTGCATGCTGACTCTCTCTAGCTACATGACAAGCCCTCTTTGCAGCATAGTAAACTTGTGGCAGTGGATGGCAATAATTCAAGCAAACGATTCCTTGCTGCCGGATATCAAGACCTCCAACAGTTTCCCAGCAACTATGTCCTCTCCCCTGAGTTCATGGACCTGTACAAGGAACATGGACACAGGAAAGTGCACAGCAAGAAGGTGAGTTCTCTTGGTATCTCAAATAACTCGCACACACCCATGAGCACTCCGGATGCCCCATGTTCTCATTCTGGCAGTGCACCAACTGCCTGTGAGAATCCTGGGGAGGTCTGCACCTCCAAGTGGAAGACATGGAAGGCTAAGGACAAGCATTCACATTGGATGGAGGGCCTGCACACAATGAGTAACTTCTTAGTTGCTTGTCAACATGGCATGATCTTGTGGTCTGCAGATATGATCCAATCTGGTGAGTTATATGTACTGTACTGTTCTTGCTTTCCAATCTAGACTTTATACTAACTTGCAATCTAGGGCAAAATGCTCTGTAGCTTGTTTGAGCAAGGTACTAGATGTCTTCGGCACAGGTGTTGCAGTGGGTTACAATATTGGCTGTGAGCACTCCAAAATGGTTGCTTGTAGCATGCTAGGTGCTTGTGCTGAAGCCCTCAGTCTCTGGTTCTTTGTGGGGGCATTTCACAGATATGCCCATAACCAAAAGTGTCAACTGTGCTTCCACCCTCATTTTCTTGCCACTGCTGGACTAGAAGACTTCAAAACCAATGAGCAGATTTTCTCAAAACAGAACATGATGGCACACTTGTTCTGACATGGCTCGCAATACCATTGTCACATGAGTCTCCACTTCCTCTGGACTAGATGGGATGAGGACAGGCAAGCTGGACTAGGTAAGTGATTCCTCCTTGGCTCTTGCTATTTGCTGATACAGATCCAGCTGACTTTTTGTGTGAGAACTACTGCCAAGCTCTGCATATCTTCCCAACCATGCAGCTGCTGGTCATCAAGTTCCAGCAACAGCAAAATCTGACTGATGAAGACTTCTCTCGATACATCTGTGAGGAAGAGGAATACTTCTCCTGCCTTGTCACAGAACCAGAAGAGGATGTACTCACCTTCAACTACCTTGAGATGTTGCAAAGTCTAGCAGCAGCTAAGTGAGTCTGTTTCATTGGCTCTCTTGACATGTTGCTAACACAGTTCCTAGATCAAGGCTTGCTGAGCTTGGATTTGATGGGTTCATCAACACTACACCAGAAACCTGGTACTCAGGTTCTAACAACATGTGTCAATGGGCACTTCAATGAGGATACATTGCAGCAATCAATATGATTGAGTGCTTGGAGAAACTAGCAGTTGAATACAAGCATCTACTATGGATATCTCGCTGGTCTCCAGAGTGTGCCAAGTGGCAGCAGACCCAGATCAACCTGAACTTCTGAGAGTATAACAAGGCCTTGGATTCATTAAAATCATTGGTGGTTCAATGACTTTTTGAGCTTGAAAAGCTAGATCTCTGGGGAACAGGTCTGTCCCAGTACATCCTCAAGTACTCTTGTGAACTGATTGCAACCTAGGCTACAAGATGCGTTGCACACTGGGAGAGGCACTACAAAGAAGAAGCAACATGATTTGAACTGCCCTCAACAAGTACAATGAGCTCACTGCCCATGTCCACTGACCTATACTCATGCTGCAAGAAGTCCTTGCCTACTCCTGGCTTTCTGACTTCTCACTCCTGCAGTATTCTCAAGATGATGTGCATGAGTGTGAGTGGGTAAAGCCAGAGATTTGAGCCACCCTGGTCCAATGGCTCCTTGTCTGCTGTGCTATGGAGGAACTTTGACAACTTGATGTAGAGATTTGGTGAGTGTGGACTGCAATACACATTGACCTGACTGACATGCTGCCAAAAATCAAGGCCGTCCAAAGCTCAGGTGATGTGTTGCTAGCTGCAGAGATGTGAGAACGTCTAGCCTATTGCAAGCTAATCAATTGCATGATTGCTGCATGGATCATCAATATCTTCTTGCTGCTGGGGTTCTCTGGTGATACATTGATCAGCAAACAAGCTTCTAGCCCCCCAGTTCATGGCCCAAGCCCATCACAGGCAGAAGAAACCAAAGCAGAAATTGAGCAGGCAAGATCAATGAAACAAGAAGCATTTGCCAAGGAAGCAGACTTGTACAATGTTGGCGACACAGATGCAGACAACAACAGCACAGAGACCTTTGAGCACATCACCCATGCTCTCAATAACCTTACATTTTAGTTACTTGAATATGGACTGAGGGCTTGTAATGACTGATTAATGTAATCCTATGCATAGATTCTCATTTCTATAAATGACATCTACTTGATAAACCAGGGTTCCCTACCTAGTAGCTCTTGTAGAATGAGAGCTAGGCCATGACCTAATCTGGTAGGTGTACCCAGGCCAAAATATATCTTGAGACAAGACACCTGAGACTCCCATGCACAGAATGCAGCCCCATTGATCTAGGGCACATGAACAATCAAGGATCTGCCAAATGAGCAGTGAGGGCAATGACTCATCTGGTGGGGCACTGATCTAAAACTAGATTTTCGAAAAGAATGTGAGAGCCGGTGAGTAAAACTAATTCAAAAATTCATTAAATACTAGATTGAAAACTAGGTACTGTTTTTAAAATAAATCATGAACTTGAAGTGTTATTGTCCAGTTGTGTTGTAAGTCCCCACACTAGGAAATCAAAGGAATTATTGTGCTGAGCTGCACAAAACACTAAGGTTGAGTCTAAAACTCATCATTACAAGACATACAGCTATCTAGAATACAAAATTTGTGTACTAGCTAAAATAACAAGTTCTAACTAACAAGGTACTAGGCAGAAGAGCATAGATAAATTCGAATAATGTGTGAGATTGGAGGGCTCATTTGTGGGGGTCTAGATGGTGAGGCTTTGTTTAAGTGGTGCATGGTGGGGGTTCAGGGGGAATTTATCTCCAAGAAATCTGCATCTGCATCCCCCCCATCTCTTGTCTTTACCACCATCTCCCATCTGAACTCACAATACTCATCAACAATGCACAACAACTTACAACAAGGTGGCTCCTCAAAAACACTTCAAAACCCTTCACTCAGCACAAGTGATGGACTTCCTCGATACAGACAATGACAAGCTCAAGCTCTTGCTCCCTCCCCTCCCTCAAACACCAACTTGGTCATGCCGTCCAACATTCCCTCAGTCTCAATCTCAAGTGCACTGATGATCCCGGCCCATCCCTCCCATACTCCTGCCATGACTGTCTTGATGGGACCTGTGGTAGGCATGGGGGGTTGGCAGAACCCCCTCCCACTACCTCCTGGGAATCTTGTTCCCACTCCCATCTCAATTTGTTTCTTGATGCTTCACACGACCATGCCTACCAATGTGTTAGGGCAACACAGGCTGACTAAGTCTGCTCACCTAAGAGTGCCAAGAGTCTAAGCAGGCAACAAGGAAGTGGAGTAGACCTGATGACTAAGACCTATCTACAGTATAGGTACCTGTGGATGATCCTAAGAGACCAAGTCTGAAGAGACAGTCCCCAGGCAGAGTAGGCCTTATATTTATACCTCTGTGGTGGAACCTGCTAGAACATCTTGCTTACTCAGCCTAGTCAGGTGATCAGGTCATATGACCAGATGAGGTCATATGAGTCATGCACAGCCATGCACAGC